TTTTGTTCTCTAATCCACATAGGGACTTTCTTAATGTTTGTAACGTGTGCTTCACAACCAATGATTGTTATTAATTTTCAATTTTTGGACAAAGGGTATGTTCCTGTAACCTACCTAATTTAAAGTTCGTCTACGAAGGTCGTGCACTCTTCACCCACGAAACAAATATGTTTTGAAACCTGGTAATAAACAAGTATTGTTCTATAGAATCAACGGTTCGCTACATTGGAGTATACACATAATAATTTATGGTGATTAAAATCAGGGAAGCATGAATACATATTTTATAGTTTGGAGTTTTACATAATTATGAAACTAAATGTAATTAGTGCGTTGGTATTGTACGGGTGTTTTTGGTTTCGAGAATGAAACGCAATTACCATCGAAACCCTGGTGCACTTTTTGTTTGAGGAGGGGGGGGGGGGATGCATTTACGATCTGCTTTTTGGAGTCCCAAGGAGGAGGGATAGTTGTTGCCCCTCCCACTCAAACGTCCCCAACTCTTTTAAACTTATGAACTGTTTGTTGTTGTTGTGGATGATGATGATGATGATGATGTGTTGTTTGTTTTCTTTGTTTGATTGTTGTTGTCATCAGGACGAACAACGCCCCTTCTCAAAACCCTGCATCCGCCTCTCCACGTTTTGTTATGTTTTTTAGTTTTTAGGGAGGGGTCAAACAAAACCTATTCAAATACAAATGTGGACATGAACCAGGAAGCAGGAACATGAAATAGAATACCGAATGCAAAAGAATCATGACCTGCTATTACCGATTTGAAACAGAAGCTACAAAGGGCATTTCTGTTTTAATACTAAATGTAACTCATTGCACTGATCTAACCCTAAATACAAAATGAAGGAGAGAGCAGGAATGTTCAGTTCCTTTTCTATGTTTTCCTTTTGTGAAACTCAAAAGAAACGGGACAAAAAAGGTGGAATTCGGAGCAGACTTTCCAAGGAAGTCCCAGGCCTTTCGAAGGCTATGTACACAACGTTTGTTCGGAGCAAGATGGGCGTTAACTCGTGATACCTTAACAGAGAGTTAAACCCTTTTTTGCTCTTATCAATAGGAACAATGGACTACCTGGCAAGCATACAAGAATAACATCATTCGGGCGATGTTTTTTAACACAACATAACAGTGGGGGGACAACTTGCCACGTCTAAGTTTTGTATGCAAATACCCAATGATTGTACAATGTTGATAGCCCATAGTGTTTATAGAGAGTAATATCAAATAAAATGATGTTTTGAAGAGACGTCATCATAGTTCCACAATAAGTGGTGACCTTTGGGTCACCTAGGGGGTGTTTCACAAAGATCCGAAGTTGAACTTAACTCTAAGTTGGACTTAACAATATTATGGAAAGCCGTTAGCATCTTTTTTTAACACATTTGGCAAAACTTATTTTAAAAGGCATAATGTTGATTCAAATCATTCATATTTTCTATTATCAAGGAAATTTCATGTTCTTCATGTGGAATTTATAAAAATTCTAAAATACTTGATTTTTTCGCTTTTTAATATATTTTATGTTATGGCACAAATGGCTCTCCATAATGTGTAAGTCCAACTTAGAGTTAAGTTCGACTTAGGAATGGACTTTGAGAAACACCCCCCATATAACATAACTTAACCAAAGTAGGCTTATCGTGGACTTGCCAACTGATATCCTGTATGTTATCATGGCTGTATCGGTATCAATAGCTGCAGGGATATGCCTACAAACATTATTCAGAGAGTTAGACCAAGCAACTCCTTGGTCAGACGGGTATCAAATTATATATTTACACGTATTGAACGTATTTCTGGCTCTCAACAGGGCATACATGCAGCATAGGCCTGGGTCTCGCCTTAACAAGAGTTTCCTTTGATCCGCATCAATCAAAAGTCCTCTGATCAATCGCACGTTTGCAGTTTCTATCTCTTATGTATACATTGCGATAGATATAAATCGTAAGTATGTTGCGATTGATACCATCTGTATTTATAAGACGGCTTCATTACAGTGTCTCCCCTAATGACAAAACCATGGATATCACAAATTGTCAAAATTAGAGACGTACGGCAACTGGATCCCCGGCATATCCCTTTTTATGGTGAGGTATCATCTTGGTGATAACGTATCAAGTAACGCCCGGCTGGAATACTCCCCAGGGAGCCCTGTTCCAATGACCGGGGTAATAGTATATTTGTAAGTATTATCTGAGAGACATTTGTATTAAGCGCTATATAAATATTAAATATTATTATTATTATTATTCATGACAGCGAAGATATCGAGATACAGACGGGCGTTAAGTATTAGATAAACAGGTACATGTATGCTAACAACATGCACCATTTCTCTGTTAAGTGGGAAGAAAATGCTGTACTTTCATATTTTGTATGTAAATATTTCCGGATTCTACTACAATTATGTACTTCTTTCAAAGGACTAAGAGCCTTGAAAGGGACCTGGTGAGTTCCGCTATGAGCTCTTGGTTTGCGTAGCAGGAGCTGAGACTTCACTTTTTAAACAAAAATCGTATTCATTTTAGAATTGTGTCTTTGCATTTCGGCACGTTTGAAGTTCAGAGGCATTACAATCGCTTGAACACAATGCAAAAAGCAGAACATTATTTTTGTTCAGGTGGTGGGAAATAAAGGAACGGTTTTTCAAACAAGGAAGTTTGATAGAAATAAAGTAAGACTAAAGAAAGGATAGGGGAAATAAACTTTGGGGGAAACCCCTCTATATCGCTGTATATTAATCACGGTAAAAAAGGAACGCCTGCCCCACCCCGTCTGGAAGATGTTATACCATGAATATGGCCGAACACCAAATTACAATATCAAAAATATAGTGATATACATGTATTTTGATTGTCTATTAGTCGAGAGCATATCGCGTTATTTATTTAAGACGTTTGACCGCATACCACTGCTATAGAATATGGTCTATTCTTTGTTCAAGAAGGCTTAACCCTCTTTTCATATTTACACAGAGGTCAATGTAATTATAATTGACGCAATCAGCAAGACGCCTTTACTGTATAGGACTTTCACATCTATTCTTCTTTTATCTCTTCTTTTTAAAGAGATCCGGTAACTTTGTCTCAGATTCTGAAACTAAATCCTGGAGTTAGCTCATGCTGCAATGATAATTATGAACATTTAAGTCAGTCAAGAACCCTATGCCTTTTACAAGCCGATCGCTTGTCTGATTACCAATATAAGTTGGAAATCGACACCAAATTTTGCGTTTTCCTAACGGTTTTCATAACACTACAGTCTATTGGGGAAAACGAGTATGTTAAAACCGGTCACTCAAAGATTTTTACTTTTTTGGAGGCACTTCAGGGTCACTTTGAAGCGCGATTTTTTTGTAGGGCTTCAATATTACACCATATCACAGATAACACGTAGGGCCATGCATCTCAGACATTGTTAAAGGATGCCTTTAATCCTCTTTACTTCTTCGTCTTCTCCTTTATCTTGTTGTCCTTGTTCTTCTACTTTCTTTTCTTCTTCTTCGTTATCTTCTTCTTTTTCTCGTCATTGGTCTTGTTTTTGTTCTTCTTCTCATTCTTTCCGTCTTCTTTTTACTTTTGTTATTTTTTTTTTTTGTGGGGGGGGGGGGGGTCTTTAAAACAAATCTATCTCTCTTTCTTCTTCTTTAGGACAGTCCTCTGGGTAAACTAGTTTCATTGTGTGAGCCTCATCAAGGGTATCGCTGGGCAAGTCGGAGACAACTCGAAAATAAATTGCATCTTGCATAATAAGCTACAAAGGAATTCTTAGAAATCAAATTGAAATACTCTTTCATCCTTTGAATCGCAACGTTTTTTGTCACATTGTGCTTTGTGTGAGCCTCGACAAAGATAACTATTCTTTGGTAAATCAAGGTAACTAGATAATAAATAAGCTGGAATAGAATTGTTGGAAATCAAATCAAAATACTTTTATTCGTCTTTTGAATTCAATGTATATGGCACACTGATTCAATAGGGATCGAGTCACTGAATGATTAAAGTTTCCATAAAACATAACTGACTAATTATAGTTTCCTCTATTCAAGATATAAAATAAAATATTTAAAGTAAAGCGCCTAGCTGACAAGACAGTGACAGGTACATTATTGGAATGTGACCGTTATGATAGTATAGAAAGGGCTTTAACGGGAACTGGTGAAATAAATGTGTGTGTGTGTGTGTGTATTTGGTTTTTACAGACGTGTATCAATCAGATATGATTATTTACGTCTGGGGACCGACCTTTAACGTCACCATCCGAAAGACGTGACTCAGTTTCGAACCTGCGTCCTCGGCTGAATCAGTTTGTAACTTCCACTGTTAGCTGGATTACAGGCGCACGCCACAACGCCTAGTTGATTGTCTATATAGCCTCTATTGCAGGAAGTTGAACACCAGACAATCGAAAATACGAAGAGAGAGAGAGAGAGAGAGAGAGAGAGAGAGAGAGAGAGAGATACTGAAAAGGACCGGCGCACTTGGTAAAAAAAGAAGCTAACTTTTAGTTTTAGTGCTGCGTTATTATACAACCAATCACAAGATTCGATAATACGCCAAAGCGGTCTGTACTATACTGTATAAAGAAGAAGAAGAAGAAGCATAATTGTTTGAAGCGAGCGGCAATGATTTCAAGCAGTCTTGAAACATATTATGTTATATTATACGATGATGACGAAATATGATTTGAATGAAATATCAGTAACTATATTACACTCCAAGACTGTTAAGATCGTTGGTATAGATAAGAATAAGCCCGAATATATTCGTCACTCAGCAGCACGACTTTTCAGAGTTAGGCCTATATACTCCGCACTTTCTCACGCAGTCATCTATTATAAGTGCGGAATACATTCTCCACCGAACAGCTCGTATTACACAACACAGAACAAAAATATACCACCACTTCCAAATCAACTTTCACAAAAACATCGTCAGTCATACAAATACACAGAAAGTATCAATTGATAAATCCAAAACTCTTACCTGACGTATGAAACAGAGTATTCCAGCGAATATATGGAAGTCTTGAAGTGTTTTCAGGAACGGTTGATAGTAGTCAGCTGTGTACCAAACTCGTCACGTCAATATTTGTCTGTATGCACGAAAGTTGATTCGTTCGTAAAACTTAGAATAGACTCTCCAAAGTATTCGGTCGCGGGCGCCATAAAATACAATACGTTGGTTAGTGGTATAGAGAAGCCAACTGAGCTGCACAGCTTAGCGTTCCGCGTTCACCTCTTAGTCGATATTAGTCTTTGAAATCTAGACCCTTGTGTGTTTACGTCCGCCGTGTTCGTCTCAGAGAACTTGTTATAAATTAATAGCCGAAATAATTATATAGAACTGCATGCATCCAATACAATACAGTGGTTCTTGTATTGTGCATGCTGCCTTCTTATTCAATCGATGAGAACATAATTGTTTGACATCGTAACCATTTTATTTTTAGGAATGGAGTCCCACATGTCGGGTGTAGCCATTACTCGTAATCGTATTACCTTTTGAAGGAAACAGTTTTAAAATCACCAGCAAAACAAACTCGGACAAATGACAACTTTATCACAAAGACTTTAAAAATTATCGATAAGGCCTTGTTCGTCACTTTTTGAAATATGCGATAATTATTACGTTACTGAATATGGTAACTCGCATTTTAGTTGATTTCATAAAAGGATATTCGACCGTGTTGGGAGAAAGATGATAACTAAAACGTGAAAACGAAATATTAGGATTATTCATACTTCTATATAATAATCGGATGATCAGAGTGTAAATGTACTATTAGAATGGATAGCATTTGCATTTGGTATTGAAGCCCACTAGCCCAGCCCTTTTTCTTCCCAGTCCTTTCTTTTCTCCTCCTTTTTTTAAAAATTTGAGTTTTTTAAAATTGTTTGTTGCTTTGATGTAAAATAAGATGTTAAATTGAATATGTTAAAGGCCCACTGCACTACTGGTAGCTACTTGCGCCCTCTATATAACAAAATAAGCCTAATCGGTGACCATTGGTCCCCCATGATCCTCTTTTTCTTATGTTAACTGAGAGCTGAGTTGATGAGATAACCACCTGTCCAGTGACCTTGCAGAGCGGTCTAATCCCTCCTGTAAACTATGGCAGACCCTACATGACTGTTGATAATTTGAATGTCCCGGAAGAGAAAAAGTTCTATACTATATTTCCCTCCTATTTTTGAAACAGATATAAGCTTCATAAAAATCTGCCATTCAGTTTCGGAAACCATATAGTGCCTCAAAACTCGTCTTTACTGAGTCTGCGTTCTAAGACTAGGCTTAAACTCAAAAGCCGTGAGTAAGACTCGGTTACGTGGTGCGCAGAAAGAACGCAGAGCTTCTTCCATTGTCAGGGGCGTGGCTTTATTCAGAAAGTTCACTGAGCCCGCTTTTTTCCACACCCAAAACTCCCATGGAGCAAAGGGGAGATAAGATCCCCCGTTTGGAGTTGAGATGGATCAACGGGGAAGATGTCTGCCTTGAATTGTATTTGAATGGAAGTGGGATGAATGAAAATGTGGGTGTTTTTGTTTGCAAGAACAATACCAACAGAAAATTGTAAAGGAATACACAGAAACGACACCGGTTTTATACGGATGAATAAAGGGACGTTATGTCAGAAGAAAATAAACCCAATTATACCGACTACGGAGTACGTGGCTTAAAAGTTCGTTGCCGTTGACACACAATCACGTATATGACCAGGCAATAATAGTAATTGCTATCGTCATACGTAATCGAATGGGGATGTATAAGGTCTCGAATAATTACTGATTGGTGATAGAAAGAGACGATTTATTTAAGACAGAATTTGTAACCAAGTTTATATATCTACATGATTGTATATGAACATGGCAGAAGACCAGAATACTCCGCCGGTGTCACTTAATGTTCAAAGTTGTAAAACATGATTGTAACTTATAGCTGAGTCGAAAATGACGCCCTATTGTGCTTACTTCCAAAAAGACGTTTTTTTTTTATGGCTTCTCTCTCACAAAGTACCAATTTCGCAAAAACACACGTCTACACGCATTCATAAATGTTTTCGATCTCGTGAATTAATAATTTCTCCCCCTTTAAAAAAATTATTTCATGTTTGTTAAAAGCCGATGATATTCAACGAAAGCAGGTTATATTTTCAAGACGTTTGCAGGCGTGTGATTATGTGAATGCCCGCTTATGTACAACGTAAACTTTTGCGAAAATGGGTACTTTTTTTTGTAAATGTCCTCTAGATAACCCCTAATTAGCATTATTAGGTCTGGCTTGTATGCGTGTTTACGTTTAAAAAAATGGGTCCGGCCTACTTGTATTTTGTGGAAAATGCTTTTGTGTCTTTGCAAATTAGGGGCCCATGCATGTTCGACTCCGCCAAACGGTCATGTGAAACAACTGTATGCATGCGATATATGACACCGCCAGGGATGGTCCCTCCCATATCTTAACACATCTCTTCAGGTTCTGTTATGCGGTAACTTATGTTTATCTATAATATCCATACAATAATTCTTCAAATATATCAATGTATATCTAAAGGTGATCTTGATTGGAATTGCATATGAGATATCTTCATTAAATTAAGTTATAAAAATAGGCCAACATTTCAGTATTATATATAATTATACCATCTTTATTCTTTATATACAAATCGTTAATATCTACATCACCTTAACTACTATAAGGACTTAAAGTCAACATATACATCTCATGGTTGGTCGTAATAAAAATATATAGCTTTTTCATAGTACATGTATTTAGAAGAAAGAAAAAAATGAATGCATTTCATTACATGGATTATGGTGTATTGGAATGAAAGCACACACATCTAAGAATTAGCGAGGCATGTTTCTCCTTCTTCTTCTTTTTCTTCTCCTTCTTCAACCCCTTCTTCTTCTTCTTTTTCCCCTTGCTTTTCATAGTTGAAAGTAATGACCGGAATTAAATTTGACACTTAACAATATTTGAGGTATCTTGCAGCAAATAGTGTTAATAATTTTTCTTCAAAAATAGTCATTTAAATGACAGAAATAAGTCATAAATTCATCTTTCACATGAAAAAAGTGTAGCCAATAACACCGAGCACTGCACACATATATTCTCCCCTATATAGTTATCCCATTTTTTTTTTGGCAATATAAATTTATGCTTCTAACTAACATCAGCATTAAACAAACACATCCAAACCCGCATTAAATGACAGGTGAATATTCGTTAAAATTAAAACAAACAAAATCAGACCACAATTTATGGGGGGGGGGGGGGGGGGCTGCAATAATCTACCATCTCCAAACAGCTTACAGACAAGTTACCCCATCTTTAGATATAACTCTTTGAATAGCATGGATGGAGTTACAAAGATGGAGATAGTTTACCATTCTTGATTTTTTTTTTCTTCCAGTCTTCAAACAGCTTGCAGACAAGTTACGCCATCTTTAGATAAAACTCTTTGAAGAACATAGTTGAAATGACAGAGATGATGATAGTTTACCCCATCTTTAGATAAAACTCATCGAAGAACGTGGTTGAAATGACGAGTTTACCATTCTTTAAAACACTGTTCTACCAGTATTCAAACAGCTTGCAGACAAGTTACCCCATCTTCAGATAAAACTCTTTGAAGAACATGGTTGAGATGACAAAGATGATGATATCATACCACTCTTTAAAAAAAGGTTCTACCAGTCTTCAAACAGCTTACAGACAATTAAGTTACCTCATCTTTAGATAAAACTCTTTGAAGAACTTGAATGAAATGACAGAGATGATGATATAATACCATTCTTTAAAAAAAGGTTCTACCAGTATTCAAACAGCTTACAGACAATTAAGTTACCTCATCTTTAGATAAAACTCTTTGAAGAACTTGAATGAAATGACAGAGATGATGATATTTTACCATTCTTAAAAAAAAAGGTTCTACCAGTCGTCAAACAGCTTACAGACAAGTTACCCCATCTTTAGATAAAGTCTTTGAAGAACATGGTTGAAATGACAGTGATGATGAAAGATTACCATTCTTTACCAAACAAATGTTCTACCAGTCTTCAAACAGCTTGCAGACAATTAAGTTACCTCATCTTTAGATACACCTCTTTGAAGAACTTGGATGAAAATGACAGATTTTGTGATAGTTTTGGTGATACTATTCTTGAGGTGGGATAATAAGTGTTCTACCAGTCTACAAACAGCTTACAGACAAGATATCCCATCTGTGCAAAATACTCTTAAAAGAGTATGCTTAAAATAACAGAGATAGTGATAGAAGTAATGTAAACAGTGATAGTTTACCACTCTTTAAGATTAGACAATGATGAAGAAGACTGGATATAACAACATCTCTACACATATCTGGCAATGGTTCATCAAGGCGTAATGTACATGAAGGAAGGAATATAGTGATAGTTTACCACTCTTTAAAATTAGACGATGATGAAGAAGACTGGATATAACAACATCTCTACACATATCTGGCAATGGTTCATCAAGGCGTAATGTACATGAAGGAAGGAATATAGTGATAGTTTACCACTCTTTAAAATTAGACGATGATGAAGAAGACTGGATATAACAACATCTCTACACATATCTGGCAATGGTTCATCAAGGCGTAATGTACATGAAGGAAGGAATATAGTGATAGTTTACCACTCTTTAAAATTAGACGATGATGAAGAAGACTGGATATAACAACATCTCTACGTATTACTGACAATGGTTCAGGCGTAATGTATGTACATGAAGGGAGGAATATAGTGATAGTTTACCATTCTCTTAAATGAGGACAGTGATGAAGAAGACTGGATATAACAACATCTCTACACATATCTGACAATGGTACACCAACATTTAATATACACAAAGGAAGAAATATAGTGATAATCTACCATTCTCTAAATAATCTATTTCTTACAATGATACTATTTCATAATAAAATTGAAATTGAAAGACATAAATTCATTGCATTGAATTGGATGGAAAAGTTTTACATTTCTGGAATGAAAGCATGCAAGGTGATTTACAGGAAGCCTTTTAAAGCAGAAAATTAATTTCTGCAAAAATCTAAATGTCTTTATCCATAATATAAATAATATTTGGTTCTTGTATAGCCTATATCACATTATATAACATTAAATAACATCTCTATGCGCTTCCAAAT